GGCCTGCCCTGGGAGTGTCGGCGGGCCCCACCCCACCCGGGGTCCGCAGTGTGCAGCACCAGCTCCTCTGAGACCCCGGGCCCCCCACCTCCTGGGGTACGGGGAGGGGGCCGGCAGGAGGGCCACTGAGCCCGCGGCTTGGGCTCCTCTGTTTCAGCCTCAGGACCAAATAGCGATTGGGGAGGACGGCTTCAAACAGTGGGACGGTAAGGACGCCCAGCCCGAGCCCGGCCTGCCACCCCAGGCCCGGCCCCCTCCGACACCCGCTGTCCCCGCTGCAGCCCTGGAGTCCCTGGACATGGCGGCCATGCTGGACACCGTGCAGGCCTGGGCCCGCAACCCCACGAAGTTCGCCCGCGCCCACGGGGTGGACGTGCAGCCCGGCACGGCGGACCCCCAGATCCTCCTCCTGGAGGGCTTTCTGCTCTACAGTTACAGGTGAGGTGGCCACGGTCCCGTCCGCAGCCCCCGCTGGAGCCTGGGCCTGACCCGGGCCGCGCTGTGTGACCCTGGCCAAGACAGCGACCTCTCTGTGCCGTGCGGACTGGGGAGAGGGGCGCTGCGCTCCCGAGGGCTTTGCCGATGCTCTCTCCCTCCGTGCCCCCGACGAGAGCCCCTGGAGGCCAGGGTGGGGTCGTGTGTTTGGTCACGATGCCGACTGTCCCCCCAGGCCCCTGGTGGACGTCTACGACCGACGCTACTTCCTGACCATCCCGTATGAAGAATGCAAGCGGAGGAGAAGGTGCCAGGGCAGGGCAGGGCCGGGGGCGGCCTGGGCGCCCAGGCTGGACCACGAATGTCCGCTGGATGCAGAGCCACCCACGCGGCAGGCTCCCGGCAGGGGTCACCTGGCTGGCCAGCACCACGGTGTCAGGGCCCGGCCAGGGCAGCTCCGGGGCGTATGGGCGAACATGCCCGGTGTCGGGTCCCCCAGTGGCGCCTCTCTCCGTGGCCTCGTTTTAGTGTCCCTCCGAGGTCTTCCCGTGGCACGTCCTTGGCTGCCACTCACCCTGTCTCCGCCCACAGCACCCGCGAGTACCCGGTCCCCGACCCTCCCGGCCTCTTCGACGGCCACGTGTGGCCCATGTACCTCAGGTACAGACGGGAACTGGAGGCCAGCAGTGTGGACGTGGGTAAGGCCCGAGAGAGACGTGGCCTCGCCTGCGGGACCCCGGGCCCAGCCCCGTCCCCTCCCCGAAGGTCCTTCGATCCTCCCCAGGCGGGGCGGGC